GAAGTAACACCGGGTGGTGAATCATTCGTGCAAGCACACTTTGGCGCACAAAGTGCCCCAATGAATTGTGATAAATCCGCTTATGACGCAGAAATATATGAGTCACGTTCCCATTATGTCTCATGTTTAGCAAGTATCATGGTAAAATTAGATGCTCTATAGGCAAAGGTTTCTAATATATCTGCAGGAAGGTGCTGCCCACGTTCCAGCAAACGGGCTGAAGAACGAATGGGTTTAAAGTCGCTTGGAATTACAGAAGCCAGTTGTTGGTACAACTGCAGATACGGGAATAAAGGTAGAAATTTGGAATAACTTGCAAAATTTAAAGACTTTCTCACTGAAAAAAACAAGGATAGTGAACAGTATTAAGGACAATTGTTACTGGTCTATTCGTCTTCTTGTTGCCCTTAAATTAAATGAGATTTTAGGCTCGGAGATTCTATTATTCTCCAAAGCATTTTGGATTCACAAGCATTTGCTTCATTTTTGAGCACAGTTATTTAAAAACATTCGGTAAGGCAAAGTGACCGGGAGTAATACTGTAGAATTACGGTCTACTATGATATTAGCACTGCTCTAATAATGGACCTAATCCTAAAATTGTATATTTGTTATGATGTAACTGTCTAATCTATAAGATGTTACGCGGAAGTCACATCATCATATACACCGGCTCACTGCATCGTAACAGTTGCCAATACATGGTAGAGAACAATCTTAGGCTAGAGATAGTACAATATATTTAATATGAATAAAAGATATAAGGTAAAATTCAGGAGGGACCACGCCTGCATGGTCGAGCCATGCCATAAGATTAACTCCGAATAATTCAATACATTATGCCCGCCTTCTGCGTTCTTCTGTATTTCTCCGCGTTAAATGTTTAGTGTCTATTTCTCATATTGTCTCGTGGAAGGGCCCAATGCCACTACAATACCATGTTCCAGTATTGGACTTTTGATTGTTTCACACTTCTTTTTAATTCAAATACGAGAATCTTTTCAAAATTTTCGGACTATGTTTCGTGCTTTATAAGAATAGGCAGGCCCATAGACTGACATGTTACGTCTAGTGGTTTTGAATATGAAGTTAATCTGTATTTGTAAGCAGTAAGGAGTTAGGTTGCACGAAGCAAATAAAGAAAATCATTATATATTCCCTTTAGAGTATTCACTATAAAATTTTTTACCCAGTAAGGAATGTTTCATGAACAATTCACTTGCTTCAATACAGAATACCTACAAAAATCTGACATTTTATGTTTTTTATAATCACCAATTAAAGTGTAAAGCAAGTCACAAATTAGTTGAAGCCTGAGATTACTGACAGTGAATGCAGTGAAGGAAATTTTTTTCCTATTGAATGGTAAAAGATTAGGATACTGAAAAAGTCTTGATAATACTATCTGACCTCAAATCGAATCAATCTCAGATGGTTTTATAATATAAAGATGCCACGGGTATTCGGAGTTTGACAACGCTTTAACCAGTAACAACTTCTAAAACGAAGCGCACCCACCAAGTAAAATCAAAAAACAGAAGTGAGGAGATCGAAGATATATTTGATAAGCTATCAATATATCGAGGATCGTTCGCACTAATCTGGCTAGCGATTGCGGCAGATGTTGAGCACGGCGTTCCCACATGTGATCTGGTGCGGATGCCTGACCGAGCGCCTTCAGCTAGATGAGTCCACTGAAACTGTGGTCGGCATCCAATGTCGAAAACTTACAGAGCTATTTGATTTTGGGGAATTATTTACAGCTACAAATAGTTCTGATACCATACACACCTCGAAAATACGGAATGAAATTGCCACAGTGTCTGATCGGGAAATATGTCTCTACAGAAGACTATTGTAATATCTTCTGTGCTAGAGATTACATAAATGGTATATTTTAAATGTTGGACTGATAAAATGTACTCCCAACTTTATAGGTCATTATTTACAAATAAACTCCCATTTTTCGATTCTTCACTTTTGACCTTGAGTGATTTTATGTGGGCATCCACATACTTACGTTTATTACTAATCCATCTAGACTAGCTTGGAAATCAAAATGACTAGCCCCTCTGCTTATTCATTCCCGAATTCGAACACCATCTTGAAAAAACAGGTTCGAAGACTTAAACAGTCTTAATAAATCATAAACTTAGCGACTTAAAAATAATCTCTTTGTAGGATTAAAAGATCAGTATTTATTTACTTCCTTTATCGCCTAGGTGTGCTGGTTTTGTTTTTCAGCCACACGATCCTAGAAACTGATCGTACGATAACTGAAACATACAGACAATACTTAACACTTGTGGCATGACGCAGTCAACCATATGTTAAAGTTCACGTTAGAAACCGGTTTTACTCAGAGGCTAATAAATTGTATGATTCTAAATGATTTGACGGCTTAACATGAATTATTCTCCAAAATACCCTCACTACTATGCTAAGTAGACTGGCAGATCGGTAGTTCGCGGAAATGTTTTCTTCCATACATAAATCTTGGGTTAGTCATAGCACCATTCCTATTCCAAGGAAGTTGGATTTGTTAAAGTGACATGTCAAGCATCATTGTAAGTGATTCCGAAATAATACCTGCAATAACTCAGGGTAGTTGTAAATGCATTTCATCGGGACTCGGTGACATACCGCGTTTGAAGTTATTAAACAATTAAAAACTGCTTCCTCAGTTGCAGGGACTAGTCCTGTAGGTTGCATCCCAGTAGTGTGGCGATGAGAAATATTGATAACAATGCTCGTAAAGTGAAGCGTATGACGAATTTTCGATCAAATCTCGGTTTTGGTAACTTGTGATCGGAATAAGTGTATCTGACAACTCATACAACAATCGAGAAATTCTATCATTACGTTTTGTTCTTCGCTTACTGTAAGACGTCAGTCGTTTCGTGCAAGCTTAGCTATGGTGTACCAACCGTCTTTCGTAATTATTGTGGTACATAGCTACAGTCTTTTTATATAGACTCCTGATATTTCGGTATTCATAGATAATTTATTCATGACCTGTTTCTATCAACAAATCTGAAAAATTTTGTTATACTGCAGCAGCTTTTACATTTCCCTATTAATATGTAGAGGACAATGTGATATCTGACATGTTGATCATGGGATAAGCGGTAGTAGAACGGCTTCGAATGTGGATTTATATCTATGCCATTCGTCTTTAGTAAGCCTGTCGACATTGGCCGACCCATCCATTGGAATAGCACAGCTCCTGACAGGATGAATGTTAGCCCGCAATATATTGGGAAGGGATGGAGCAAATACATGATGTGTGTTGTGTTCAAAACCGAAAATACAGTCGAAGTGATTATTACTCTTCAGTAGGGTTTGTTACTGAACTTCGGTAACATCATCACTTTCATGTGTAAAGACAAAATCAAACTATCATGGTCTATGTTCTTAGTCGGTTTATGACACATTGTTCAAGCTAGCATTCAATTACTGTAGACGGTTGTAGAAAAATCTGGGAAATTATAGTCTAAGTTCGTTATAAGTATTGCTCTAATAATAGACCTAATCCTAAAATTATAGATTTGTCATGATGTGACTATTTAATCTATAGGATCTTACGTGAATGTCACATCACTGTCTACACTGGCTTATCGCATCGTAACAATTAGCAATATGATGCTCAACACTTCTGAAGAACACATTTAGGCTGAAAATAAGATAAGATATTGAAAGTGATAGAAGACATGTTATACAGAATGACCACGTCTGAAAGGCTGAGCCATGCCATCCAATTGATTTGAATTAATATTCCCGCGTCCACCATTGTTGACATTCTCTCCGTGATAATCGTTGAATATACAAGTTTTCAATAAGTATATGCTCGGCTAACCACATCAATGACTTAAAATGGCCATATAAACTACTATAATGTGGATATCAAATGAAAGTTCAAAAAACGCTAGGTACAGAATGTGAGGGAACTAAAGTTTTGTTAAGGAAACTAGTAAAATACACCAATACATTAACTTCAATTAATGACAGTTTAAGAAACAAAGTGCCAAAATGTTCAGGAAACCTAACAGTAAGAGAAAGCGATGAGATAGTTTGTGTGAGTAAACCGATGCATGTAGCTGTAGATAAATCCCAAAAACATATTGTTCAGTAAGTCTTCGACAGTGATACTGATATATGATATTTAGAAGTGCCTGAATTATTATACGAATCAAGATTCTCCGAAATGATAATTTAGATCAAGATGAACTAGGTGAGAACAAACAAAAATTTTGTATTTTGAGTTCAAAATGAGACAGAAATTCAAGTACAAACGAACCATTATTTCATACAAACACCGCATTTTCTCATTAGTTTAACAAAACCTAACATAGCCAAAGTCTCTGATCCGCGACAGGTCACCATCAGGTAAGCCGCACAATCAACCATCTTAGATCATAAAATTTTAAACCTATGGACAACTTTCGAAATATGGCTTTAAACTTTCTCGTTTTTGACTTTTGACTTAGTTGTTATTTTTCGGACATAGGGGTGCTATGAATAAAGCTTTTTCATCCTAATCTCCCGAATTTCGGGGAAACGTGAAAAAATCCACAAAATTTCTCCTGGTCAGCGATTTCCCTTATGATATTGAGTCTTTTTGATAAAATATTCAAAAACCTTAGTAATATTTTGGATTTCCATCAATGTTTTCACAGACTTTATCGTATTCTATGAATTTTCATATGACATTAAAGAAAACACAAAAAATCCAGGTGTTGAGATATCCCGAATATTTGTAGCATCTTTATGCTTGTCCACAAAAAAACTTTAACTGGTGCTAACTGAAAGCAATAAGTATCAACTAAATCCAATTACTGATACGATAGTCACAATTGAATTGCAATTTCTCAAGACGCATGTTATTCGTTACATTTTTAAAGTTGTTCACAGATAGTGATGGTCTTTATCAACCCAGATACTGAGCTGAACACAATGGATTTGATTTTTCTGCTACTCACTGAACAAGTGTTAAGGTTTCAAACAAGTGTCACCTTGAGTTGTGTGTGTGGTTCAAAGTAAAATGTGCTTTGCGCGTTACAAGAGACTTCCGTGAGCTATGAACGCGTTAATGGATAATACCGTAAGAAAACATTTCAGATCTAGCACTCTGGTTTTATGCAACCGAGAATCACTTACAATCCTTTTTAGAATTACCGTAACGAAACTAGCAACTGTAATATTGTAAGTGCCACTTCAGCCTCTGAAGGTGCGTCTCACCAAGTTTTTCAAACTTACTTTGTTTAAATTTGCGAAACATGCGTTCTTATTGCGCAAATTTCTCAGATGTTTTAACTTACGATCAAAGGCTTGCGATTGTGCTTGACTAGGTGTAAACAACTGCTGCAGCAGTTCAATTTATTAGGTTTTATGCTTGCTCAGGAAAGTTGAATCCTATGTTTTGTACTGTCTATGGTAGCGTCTCTTTAGGATTCTGACACCTGCCGTGATAACAAAGTCACTTTAGTGAATCTACTATGTAATCAGAGTGTTGTTTCCTTTTTTTGATCATGTATTGTGACTGATTTGCTTCTTTTGACTTTCGCAAGTAACAAAGACTGGATGTTCTATGATGGTCATTTACATTCATGGGTTATAGCGTCCCCTTGGAACCGATTTTAAAACAGACCGATGCTATATTTGTGTCAGTAGTTTCTATTATATATTGTCACGCGCAAAAAAATAAGCTGCGAGACTCTAATTTATGAATGGCTATTGGACGAATTTTAAGTGACCTTGAGAATATTAGACAATCATCAAACAGTAAGTATTGAGTAAAAATATATACAAAACCAATGAAATAATGTAGATACACTTCTTATACGTGGTTCAAAAACTTGTCAAGGTTAGAAAGAGGTTCCGAAAATCGTAATGCATGCTGTAGAGAAATTCATCCATATTACTACAGAATAGTCGGCCTCTGGAACCATTATAAAGTCTCAAAGACTTTTTACCTCGAGTAAATAGCTTCACTATTGTTTTTGTGCACTCCGGTTGTTGGGTACACAAAATGCTATTTGTGGATAGCGACACGATGCATATAAACAAGCCTATGTAGGAGTCTGTACGCTCTCCAAACATCCGTATATATAATGGTACCTAGCTGCAGCCAGTGTTACTGGTGCTTTTATTACCCAGTTCCCGATAATTGTCATAATTTGTCTTAGTTAGGACTTATATTGAGTGCTTTTGAACACGCTGCAATATATATTTCGTATGCGACCTATGGGTTTTTGTCCTTGTTTCCTTATTTCAACTAAAGTCAATGGCGTTTTAGTTATGTGTTCTGGATCATTCTCATCTTTACCCTTAACGTTATTACAAAGCGAACACAAAACCCAGAAACTAGTGACCCTTTTTCAGGTTTGAGGTCACTACGTACAGTGAATTTCAAACCACGGTAAGCAGTAAATAAATATGAGCATCTTTACTGTCTTATTCGTTGTCTGTCTTGTTTTATTCGGCTCAAGCTCTTTGTCAAAAGATTGTTTACTTAAATCCCACCTATCGAATGTCAGTATGACAGGATTTAGACTGGGACTGTCAAAAGCAGCTTTATAATTTCGTTTCTTAAAACAGATATACTATTGGCGATCCCAAATATACCTTTTAAGTATGAGGATTTGCAACGTTGTGTTTATTATGATGTTCATTTGACTGTACAAATGTGTAAACTCAACTGTAAACTTCTGTAATACATGACAACATGGGGAAGTTTTACTGGTGTGAAGTTATTTAGTCTTTTTGACCTTCGAGTATAATCTTTTTTTTCTCCTAATAGATGATCAGCTGAGTTTATGTTGTCTGTGTGGTCAAACGTTTCCAAGTATCAAGTCCCTTCATATGCACATTAATATTGTACACAAAGGTAAGCTTATTTAGTAAATTTCAAATTTGGTTTGCGATCAACAGTTTAAAATAATGCTACAGCAAATATTCACTGTCATAGGGTTTGCCAAAACTACGTTTGACTGTCATGTATAGCTAATCAAATTACAATAAAGGTCTCTTGTTCTAAGTATTCAACTAATTAATACTCATATTCGGACTCTGCTTCAACTTTATTAATTTATATACCCAAGTGGCAGCTGATAGTTTTTTATCATAACATTTCGGCTTGATTGCAGAAATAGTTCGTCCTATTCTTTGTTCTTTTCCTCTTTATATTTGACCACTACATAGTTTGCCCATTACCTTCCGACTCATAAAAATTCACTTTTCATTTTTTCTGTATTTAAACTGATAAGTTTTGTACTTGAAATATAAAGTGAACTTTTGAGTTTGTATTTTATGTAGTATATGTATTTCACTTGACGTGTTCAACGTGTGCCCATATAATCTAGTTCAGTCATCCTTAGTAACAAGTTTTGTGGTGTGTACTACTTATGTAGACATTAGTAGTATATGATGTTAGTCGTGAACAAAATGTCTGGCAGCAGAGAGACGAGAAGATCGAACGGTAAAGAATGAAAACAGAATGCAATTTGTATAAAGATACATGAACGATGAAGTCTGAGTCGTTTCGAGACAATTGATGGGCAGTTTGCAAATTGTGCATTTTATATATGTTGGTAAATTTTATTAACAAGTTCTGTAATTTCTTGTCAAATATATTCGATTGTCCTCATTGGTGTTCGTGTTCACTACAGTTTAATTAGGTATTCTTATGTCTACCTTAAATGTCTTTGTGTGAAAATGATTTTGAAATTCAGGAATTGGATTCCTATTCCTATATAACGATCTACGTTTTTTGTCTCTACTAAGTCCAGCGTTTCTATCAACATTTCCATAGGTCTATATAAACCGCTTATCTAGCTTTGATTACATATAAGTAGTTGTTTTAGACAAACGTGTTGACGGAAATAATAATCCTAGATTTGTTTGGAGAAAACTTAAGAAACTATCACAAACTAGCTGATACATCGAAGTAGTCTGTCCACACATAATTCACTCAAATGCAAAGCTGTGGACCGCGTCAGTCCAAGTATATACCACCACTATTGCTAATTTTAAAGCTGATTTTGTTGTAATTGGTAGTGATGTGAGACATGATAAGATCGTATATTTGTATTAAATTTCACTAACTTTTGGAACGTAACAGACAGCAGTAATATTCGCCATACATGTAATTAGCCCACTGGTAAGACAAGATAGGGGGAGATTGTGGAATGTTTCGACAACATTGAAACAACTAATGCAGGCGTTTATGTAATTTAGGGGGTAGTTACGGATTTTGAGTCCACTTATGGGGGTCGAGAAACCTGGTTTTCAAATCGGTAGCGCACATGAGCCCCAGGTTCGTGTTATAATTTGTGATGTACGTACCTATTGTGGCCACAGATTATTCTGATGATACATCTTTCAACATTGCCCTGTTGCTTTTTGGATCAGATAATTGGGTCTGAAACTATTTTATCCGACGTGCCAGAAGACCAAATAACTATAATCAGGGACTGACGACAGATACAATGTATTCGTTATTACTTTATATTCTCTAATGAATCGTAGCGTATACGCCGTTCAGAATCAGTCTAATTACCAATTAATACTCAACAAAGCTCATTTGATATATATCACAACACGAACTACCAACATAGACGCTCTAGTTGAGCTTTTCAGCCGGCTAGTGTGAAGTCGATGTTCCCAAGTTAGACAATGCAGACTATCTTCTGCTGTGACATGGAGTGTCGTCAGCTTTACTTAGTCCTGCACGCCTAATCTCACGTTTACGTGCTCGGTGGTTTCACCAAACGGCAAGTGTTTCACTAACTAATACAAATTTGTACATCATTCTTTTTACCCAGATGTTAGAGACAGTTTAGCAGTTACTTGAGCGTCAATTTCTGTAACTACTCTGGATTGGCTTAGAATTTAGTAATTCACCTCAACAAGATATCCACTTTCATAGCTGCTTTATCGTAAACAGAGCGGAGATGAAGATCCCAGATCTAGTTCGTATTATGAATCTCCGTATTCTCAGGAAAAAAGCTAGGGCGACTAAACTAGTTATGGCATCAGTTAATGATGTCACTAAATATTGGTCTAAGCCATGTTTATAAATGGGTACTACCTAGCTGGGGTGCGCACGACAACTATAATAAGTGGCTGAATATGTTGAGTGTCACGGCTCAGGATCTTTTGCAGTGGCGTAAATGCATTCACTCCCTATCTTCTCGTTCTTGAATCCCATTATTCTTCCGAACGCAGCTTTCCATTATATTTCAACCTATATCATCAATTCTCTATCTTTGTCATTATCTTAGCTATTATATTCTGTCTCCTTTACTATTTATCTTGTTATTTTTCATCTCGTCATACTTATATAGTTTAGCAACTTTGACCGGCGTACATCTTATCAAACTTCTACTTTGGTTATGGCTAACCACGTTTATTTGCCGCTATAGAACATCATTTTCTAAAATCTCACTGGTTGATAGTTGATTACGTTGAGGAAGGTCAAACTACTCATCATCAGCTGTAAAAAAGCATTTTAGACCTTCATATTTATAATTTCGGTTAGACTATAATATTATACCATTCAATGAACTCTTCTATTAGTGGTATGAACGGTCGTCTAAGCGTATTTGTTTAGGTCTACTGAGTAGTAGCAGCTAGATACTTAGAAAGAAGTAGTTTATGAACAAACATAAAATCACAGTTTCATTCACTTCCTATCTTATGATATTTAAAGCTGTTATTACTCGCCATTTATTTCCTTAGATTACTTTATATCCTTCTTCCCTATTTCATTATTTTTTCGGCAAGGTGCGTCAATTTAAATCGTATCATATTTTTGTTCAAGGCTGTGTCAGTATTTCTGCTTACCTTTGATGGTCATTACAAACAATTTATACTAAATTATAGTCTGGATTTAGAGATAATCTAGCCCACTTACGAGGTAAATGTTTTATATACAAGACTTTACACCTCACTTTGTGGACGCCATTGATATCATTTGGCTGTCCGAAAAAAAGTATTTAAAATGAGGTTTGAACCTACGACCTATTAGTTGAAAGCTTAGTGCCTTCACCACTATGCAGCTACTACTTGTATTTATTGATTAATCTAAATTTCTAGTCTAATTTTCCAATCAATGTAGAATTAAAATTTATGAGATGGTGTAGAAGATTTGTAGCTCAGGTGGATGATTTTGATGGAGTTTTGTTCTCTAAGCTGGAGGGTTTAGTCGTGGAGCTTTAATCGTTCTTCTGAACACTTTACTTCTAACTAAAGTTTGTGCTGAGGATGTCGTTCAGAAGAACGACGATAGCTCAACGACTAAACCAGCTTAGAGAACAAAACTCCTTCAAAATATAAATTTGTACCAGGTAGAACGAATAAAACGTAACGTTCCTTGGTTGGTATAAATCAAATAACCAACTTTGTAGAAATACTAATTATTTTCCCCCTTAATTCTTTCAGAAGCGGCAGGTTCTTTTGATTTTCAGTTAACAGACTGTGAAAACGACGACTCTCATTCAGTAAGTCAAGACTATTGAGATGTTTTTGGGTAGATTGTGGAACAAATGTACTACTTTCGTCTGCTCTTGAAAAAGAACTGTAGTTTTTACTATTCGTTACATGTCTTTAATCTCTTTTTAAATTTCAACATGATGATTATCCGAATAAAAGTTCTATGATAACTTGAGCGAAGCAAGAATTCTAATCAAGTCTAATTTTATTAGTTTTGTGATAAATATGTCATATACTGTGATATGTTATTCATGATGGAATAACCGGACTCATGTGTATTACTAATAATATATGATACGGATATAAAATGGTAATCAAGTTTGAACGACAAGGATGTATGTTTATAAATTCCATTGATGGTTCTCCGTAGATGAACAGTAGTCATCTCTCAGACTGGGCGACTAGATCAATGAGAAAACACTGAAATAGTTTAATAAACCTTCAACTCCCTAGTGTCCACTTTCAACTTTAACAGGACATAGAAATTAAACCCCCAACTCTCAGCAAAGTAAAAAAAAACGTTGACTAACTTTATACAGATGGGGTTAATATGTTGCGACGGGTTGATCTTTTAAGTTTGAGATCTAGATGTAATTTGGTGTCATCGGTTTCATATTTTTGTGCTGAGACTGCAAAGACAAAAATTAGATCTAACGCGTTGTTTGTTTGCGTTTCATACTGAGTGAATTAGTATATAACTCAACTGCAGACAATAAAAGTAGCCAAAACCTTGAAGGTCGAGCTCGACACGTGCAATATGGAACGGTCTATGAATGTTCTGTCAAAAAATTAATCAAACATTGAAATTTGCCCAACAAATGCTGGTCATCGCTCTCACCAACTGCTGCATTCGATGTTTTATACAGCTTAATGTTTTTAAGCCTCGTCTACATGTACTTTGTCTAGTTGTAGATCGAAAGTTGGACCACTAACTTCGACAGTGTACTTTTTGATTTCTACAGTGGTAATCGTCGGTATCCCTATTAATTTGACTATCGGCTAATCATAAGAACGGCTGGTTTTTCTGGACGTTTCGTGGCACCATGTGTTCTACCAACGAAATCAGGCTTTATGTCCTGTCTCTGCATTTACTGGGACAGTGGTTTTCGTAGAGGCATTGCTTAGTTAAATAATATGCATTCTAACTCCAGTAGATAAATAGTAAAGCCTTCCTCAACCCTCTAGTACATTAGTTAAGTAATGCAGTGGATCCAGAAGACTTAGGATCAAGATTACATAAACTCAAATTGTCTTAATTTCTGGATTAGGTCAAGGTAATATGCTCGACGTAATTTATCTATCGAAATTCGGTTGTGACATTAAAATTCGATCTGTGGTCATTATCAAACTATTCACCAATATAGTGCCAATGGCGACAAAGTTCGCAGATTGATAACATCAAATGAGATCAATAACTCACTGGAAGACTTTCAAAGTTGCTAAATTCGATTGATCATATTGGTAGACAATCTGACTATACTTCTCTTATCTTACTCATCTTAAGCAACCATACTTCATGGTTTCATTAAGTATAAACTCTGCCATAAAACTGCTCATCGTGGTGGAGTCAGAGATAAACTAAAAAATGTGATTTTCACTAGATAACTTTATTGAAGTACTGAAAACGTCATATAAAATCCTTGTTTCATGAACTTTACGGGACAAATAATATTCTTACATGATATTGTCTTGCTATACCAAATTACACTGAATGGTAACATCATTTTATTCGATATGTAACAATCTTATTCTTCGCGTCGTTTATTTATTTGTAGGTCACCTTAGAATCACGGATCTCACTGTCATCTAGTAATGAGGAATTTATGTCCAGTAAGTAATGTTTTTACTCCCTTGGCAAACAGCCATAAGTTGTTTGGTCTGCTTTTCTTTATCATTCTAAACTACTTAGAAGATATTAAAATGAAAATAATTTCTTGTCACAGACAATCCTCATTATTAAGTTTTGCTTATTGGTTATGAATTTCTAAAAGTAACCTAACAAGGCTCCACTTTTATTCTTACGCTGTTATTATCCGCAACATTTAGAATCCTGTGAAGTTTACAGTCAATTCTAGTGGCTTCATTTTGCTGTAAACTATGTTGAACTCTTCACTTCATCATTTCTTGTTTTTTTTTTGTGCTCAACTAACTTTACTGATTCAGTTCTTAAAATTGGTTGGTGTTTACGAATATGTGATGAATTCTTGCAAAAATCACTGTTAGGTATAATAATCAGTTTGTATTTCGCGTTTGTTTACCATAAATGTAAAACCATTAATACTAAAGTGCCTTTTAAAGTCTTCCGCAACTGCAATTTAATTTGTACCGAGTCTCCCATTCAACGGTGAAAGAATTTTGTTTGTATAATTTTCCAAGAAAATTATTTCTTTATTGTCCTGGACTTATTCGTACCCTACTTCACTGAATATTTATTAATATTACTCAAATATTAGATGTACAAAGTTATACACTCGGCATTGAAGTGCACTATTTTTTCTCAAACAATATTCTTCTGTACTGTATAGAATTATAAAAGCACGGACTGACAAGTCTGTTAAGTCTTTAAATGACTGAATACATATTTATGTACTAGTTTGTTCATACTCATTCTAATAATATCCTCTTTACTTTAACATTCAGAGCCTGAAACTCCAGTTGTTTGTCCGAATTGTAGAAAGCCGTTTCCTGGTCTCACAAGTTTGCGAGTTCATATAGATTCTGTACATCATGGTGAGAGTTTATACAATTAATTGACTTAACTGTTTATTTTGAACATAAATAACTAGTGTATAGGTTGCAGAAAGTTCAACATATTTGATTATAGTTTTCATTACAAACTAGACAACCATTCAAAGAATGAAAACTTTCAACGTAATATTCTGTCCTAATTTGATGCATTTTCGCAATGCACTCTCAGTTTCATCGAACTGCAATTAAGGTTAAGACTATAATGTTTGGATTGTTAATTTAACACTCTGGTTCCTGATAAACTCTTAATAAAGTATTACATATTCAAATTAGAAAGCACTTAGTTAATCCTGTAAATAATGTTAACTACTTATAATTACTATTACCGATTGGATTCCGGAAAAGATCTGGTTAACCAATAGTATGCATATTAGGGGATTGAAAACATATATTTACTAAATATTTAATCAAGATAGAATGACTTACCAGACAAAAAATGATTAATCAATGCTAAAAATTAAGGTTATCGAAAAACTAATACTTTTGTAATTATAAGATCCTAAGTGTCAACATGATATAAAGTAGAAAAAGAATAAGTTGAAAACTTGGTCCACTTAAAAAAGCCAGAACGACGATATATAGCAATAAAAACACTAAACTCTTATGAAAAACTAATTATCTTGGGTAAAAGTATATGATCAGAAGGGGTTTTGTAGAGATTTTAGAAATTTCACTAGTTGAAATCATGAGTCAATTAAAGCTAAACGACCATGGAAAACCTGGAAGCACTGGACGGCCGTTTCGTCCTAGTGTGGGACTCCTCAGCAGTTCGCGTCCACGATGAGCTTGAAAAATAATTGTGACGAATTTCCGACCAGTTCTTAGTCAATCAGAAAACGGCTTTTATAAATTGGTATTTTATGGAAAAGAAAACAATAATATTACAATGTGTAATATTTACTTAATTTATAAATCTATTAATGCTTCGACAGATTCCTCTGTAAATCGAAGAAACCACAACGTATAAACTCGTCTTTATGTACAGAGATTGTCCATCTCAAACCTTTATAAGGGTTCAAACAGATTTTTAATCCTTTCTATGTTGTTACTAGTTAGTTAGGTATTTAAGATTGAGGTTTTCATCCTGAACTGACATCAGCTGCAATGTAAAATGCTCTGCAGCCATATTATTGAACTAATTTCGAGCGAGAATAAAATTTACGAACGACACTCAGCGATTATTTATTTATTTATTTGAACACATAAATATTGGTACAGGGGGGCACCAAATATATATGCGCCACACAAAACAATGATAATTTGAAGAGAAGGAGAAAAGAGAAAAAAAAGTAATGAACGTCGGGAATTATAAAAAAAAGGGAGAGAGAGAGAACAATGGTGGGGGAAACGGAAAGGTGCAATCAGAAGAGATCTTTCAGTTAAGGAAGATACTACCACTTTTTATGAAGAAAGTAAAAGAAGGTTACAGCACGATCGCCACTGGCTTCTATTCTGAGCCATATCTGATAACGTCTCTAGCCACTGCGTTACACCGTCTCTCGGACCCCAACCAGGGAGTCGTGAAGGACCAACAGAAGCTAGCCCTTTGCAGCTTTCTTTCATACCACGACACCATGTCATATACTGACCACCTCTCCGCTTTCTCCAACCAGTCCCAGAGTCGGCAAATAATGCACGACGTGGAATTCTCTGGGACGACATTCGTAAAACATGTCCAAGCCACCGAAGTCGGTGTTTCAAGATGGTGACACCAATTTCATTATCATCTCTGTGACCGAACACTCGATGCCGAACCTCTGCATTACTGACATGGTGTTGCCACTGGATGCCAGCAATCCTTCGGAGACAACGATGATCGAACACAGAGAGTCGTCTAACATCCTCAACTCGGAGAGGCCAGGTTTCACAAGCATAGAGCAAAACTGCTCTCACCGTCGCGTTGTAGATCCGACCTTTTGCAGCCAGACTAACATCACGAAGGCGCCAAAGGTGGCCCAGATTGGCATAAGCCGCTCTGGGTTTCACTATAAGTGCATTGATCTCATCACTCACACCACCACCAGCACTTATTCAGCTACCTAGATACACGAACTTCTCGACTACTTCAATCTGCTCACCATCCAGAGTGAGTACAGGATTAGAATCCTGCCAGTCTTGTAGAAGAACTTTGCACTTCGAAGGTGCAAAGCACATACCATACCTACGGACACTGATTGCCAACTGATTAAGTGCGGATTGCATGGCTTGGGCATTCTTGCACAGTAAGACAATATCATCCACATACTCAAGGTCGAGAAGTCTTTCTCCAGGCAACAGATCCACACCACCATTACTTACATCCGTCATAGCTGTTTCCAGAATGTCATCGATGGCAGGGTTGAAGAGGAATGGTGAGATTGGGCAACCTTGTCTAACCCCACTGCTCGAATGGAACAGAGGAGAAAGGTGGTTGTATGCCCTCACTCTGCCTGAGGTGTTTGTGTATAGGGCTTTTAGTATGTTAATAAACTTCTCAGGCACACCCTTCTTCAATAGACAATCCCAGCAATAAAAAGTCCTATCCAACGAATCGAAGGCAGCCCTGATATCAAGAAACACTACGATTGTTGGCCTTTGATAAGTATGGCGGTGTTCTAACATTTGGCGGAGGGTGAAGATATGATCAATACATCCTCGATCAGATCGAAACCCAGCCTGCTCCTCGCGAGTCAATCTTTCTCGGGTTCTGAACAACCTACTAAGTATGACGGAAGCCAATTGCTTGGACGCAATCGGAAGTAGACTTATCCCCCGATAGTTGTTACAGGAACGGCGTGAACCCTTTTTAAAGATAGGGACAACTATCGACTCATTCCATGACGTTGGTACACTCTCTAGTTCCCAGACCTTTGCAAACAACGTAGTCAGTCCCTTAGTCAGAAAGTCACCACCATCTTTAAAAAGAGCCGGAGGTAAGTCATCTGGGCCCGGTTATTTGTAGCGTTTCAAGAGTTGGAGTTCCTTGCGGACTTCCGCCTCATTTGGTGGATGTTAGTGATTGGCGTTCCGTCATCCTCGCAGATTGTTTCGCTCACACCAGACTTCTTGCTGTCATTGGCTCGGATGAGTTGGAAGAGCTTCCGGTAATTACCAGATGCAGCTGCTGCTTCCAACTCACTGGCACGCTCCGACCACCAGGCTTCTCGGTCCTTACGCAAGCTTTGCCCGATTTCATTACGTAACATCCTTCGTCTGTGGTCAAACTCACGGTCACCCGGAGTAGACCGACGGGCTTCAATCAGTTGTAAGGAACCAGAAGAAACCCAGTGCTTGTAAGCGGGACGTTTCGCAAACCCACAACAGACTGTACCCGCCATTTTCATGGCGTCATGCAATTGCAACCAATGCTCATCTATACTTTTCGGTGGAATGGTAGCTAGCCTAGAAGCTAGCTCGGTTCTGTACTTACTAGCAACAGAAGTTGCAGCCAGCTTGCTAACATCAATCCTTTGGTGGCGGTCACTTCGTTGTCCACTGAAAAGTAAGGTAAGATTGGCGCAGACCAGAGCATGATCAGATTCCAGATAGGTACTCCAAAAGGAGCGGCAGTCTTGTACACAACCGCGCCAGCGGTAGCTGATCGCGATGTGATCAATCTGAGTCCAGGCTTGAGATGCAGAAGGAGGACGCTAGGTGGCACATCGGCGATGACTGTGCCGAAAGTTAGTGCTAGCCAGAAACAGGTTGTGGTCTGTGCATAGTTGCAGTAGACGTTCCCCGTTATCTGTCCTGTGACCAACGAGTCCCCATCGGCCACCTAAACGACTCTCTTCTGTGCCTAGACGCCCGACCTGAGCATTCAAGTCTTCGGGTAGTACTACAATATCTGTCGAACGCACTTTCTGGAGAAGAACAGTTAGCTGATGGTAGAACTCGTCCTTGATTGCATCCGGGCTGCAATCTGTCGGGGCATAGGCGGAGATGACGAAAAGACATCGTTTCTCACTTTGATGGAACTTTCTAATCTAAGAGCACATAACCGACTGTTAATGGGGATCCAGTCGACTAGTGCTGCCTCAGCTCTTGCGCTTAGTGCGACACCAACGCCAGCAAAACCAGGGTCCTCGGATAAACGCACATAAAACAAGCTTTTTGAAGCGACAGATGGAGAGCGAACTTGTAGTACTTCACCAGAGTCTTGAATACGGGTCTCGGATAGACAACACACATCAATATTAAGACTTTCCAAAGACATAGCCAGCCCTATCTGTTGTCCGACCTGCATAAGTGTGCGAACGTTGAAGGTAGCCAGTTTGAATGGTGTACGTGGTTTCAGAAAAACTGCTTCAGTACTCATATTCGGTAGTAACATACAATTTTCAACCAGGCAGTGACTCGAAAACGTTTAGATAAAGCTGAATTTTCACCATAGGCGAGCTGCTGTCTGAGTCGAAGCGGATACAAAAAGTAGAAATAGGAGATAGTGAATAAATGACGTAGTAAATAATAATAATAATACCAGTCATTTCAAGGTTAGCCGGAGAGAAACGAATATTTTCTATAAGCAGATAGTTCATCATGGTTTTAGTGTGTGGGCTGAGATACTGCCCGGGTGCCCAAACCGAAGCAGGTGGTTTTCTTAGGGGGCCACACCCCGAGCCTTTGACCTAAAGGTCTAGTCCACAAGGCAGTGGAGCATCGTGAGGAGATGCAGTCCCATGGAAGCCGGTGACCAAACGTTGGTTCATACGCCATTGGTTCCCGCAGGATAATGGAGCCCATGTGCACCATAGAATTGGGACCCGGTTATAGCTCCGGACGTTCGCTTTTCGTCCTCTCATTTTCGTAAACAACACCCCCGCCACTAGAAGGCAGTGAGTAGGACTTCCCTGGCAGGAGCTGTATACGCGTGGCTGTGTGAGAGTATTTCGAGAGGGAGGGCGAACCCTCCCCGCTCTCGGCCATACCAGGGCATTTGGGGGCCCTTCAGCGATGCTAAAGTGACTTTAGGAAAATTCGCCCACTCACTAAGATCAGAAGATGAATAAAGATTTAGAGTTCTACGTGAGAGTTTTCATCACGAACTGACGTCATCTGTAATGCTGAAGTACTATTTAACCATATGAAGAAATGAATTCTGCGCATAAACCCAAGACTTGCTAGTCTAAATCTCATTGGTTCGTCTATATATTGTAGTCTCACTAAATTTTGTTCATAGGCACAAGAGGCGCTATCCATTTAGTTCATCCACAAGATGCGATGTCACCAATTCAAAGTTCGTTTCAGGATTAGGCTTTTAGAGGTAAGATTGAGGGATAGTGTCGACTTACCTGTTATATACAAACTAAAGGGACAGAATTAGACATTTGATGAGTTTAATACTATCATTTTTACTACATAGTTGAAGAAAATAATTTTCCGATGTCGTTTTAAACGTTTTGATCAGTATACAAACGTATTTTTGCTGCTCTTAATAAATGACGTTTGGATTTCACGCAAGAACGTAGAAGTCTCATTCTGGATTCTGATTGGCTCGTCCCTAGAATATACTTTTGCCATATATTGTTGATTCGTTTGTTAGCACCAAAATGTTGAAAATAAACTAATCACTGCACCCAAATTTAACCTTATGCTGAAGATGTAACTGATCAGATTCTATCTTGCTATTTGTAAAGTAAATACGTTACAAATACTAAAATCATATAGATCGTTTACTGACAAATGATTTTCTTTCTGTAGAGGCTAACTTATTTTGGTACTCATCCATTTAGTTTCTAATATAGTCTGTTGTAATTAAAAGTGGTTAAATATCATCGAAGACCATCATTCGTTCGAAAGACTGAAAAGGTTAAAATAATAATTCGGGATTTATTAAGATCAAATACAACTGTTTCCCACAAAATCATTAAGAATACCTTGAGAGAATTTTATAAAAGGTAACTATTCAAAGTACTTTACATTTTTCACCATTCAGAGTAGTAAGGCTTTTTAAAATGAACACTAAACTAGGACTTTTGTCGAATACCTCACAGTGAAAGCATTATATGTTTCTTCTCTGGGATATTTCTAGATCACGAATCTGATTTTGTTATCAATATCTATCTTTATAGTCTATTTTTAATTAATCTTCTCAGAGATTTACTTCCGACTTGATAGATTTATGTAAACATTTAATATCCACTAGGTAATCGGATACCTCAATGTGATTATTGCATGAAAAAGTTCTCCACTTTATCCTACCTTCGAATGCATATTTCTACTGTTCATGAAGGTAAGTTATCATTTGAAATATTGCTAATTGTTTGGTTATCCAAAAGCAAATATAAGAGCATAATAACTTGTTCCGATAATCTACAATAAGATGCAGATCAACTACGTTTGAAGCATAAAACCAAAGCTTTCGTACGTGTCCAACTTACAATTAGGATGTACAATGATAATGAAAGCGACGTTTAAATAAAATTATAACTAATAATCGTAGGAACACTACAATTAACCTTATGAACTAAAACTTAAACTTTTTACTTAATAATATAAGTGTCTTGAAGTGAGATGTAAGACAATTTTTTGCTCTCTCCATTCCTCTGTTTATTATTGTGTTTTTCAGTAAGTAGTTTAAAAATTGTTGTTTGTAGTAAATATTGTTTTTCTAATATTTGTTGTTCAACTTAATAATTTTGTAATAATTGCGCACGCTTGTCTATTTATACTCTTTGCCTATGTCTATCAGTCAGTCATCCACAACAAAGGACTAGATAAATATATGCATCAGTCCAAGTTACCATACCTCATTAGCACAACAAGATGGATACCGAATCCATAGAAGTAGTCACTTCAATGGTAGTGATATATAAAAGAAAGATTGCATAGAAGGATGTAGTACAGGAAAAAAGAATTAGTTGGTAGTGTTACGTTCTTCATCTGTCTACCCACTTTTTGTGCCGAGGATACTTTCTAATCTAGATTTAGACTTTGAAGCGATAGGCTCGTTGGCCTAACCTTGAGACTAGTAAGCGTGAGTTCGAGATGGGGTAGAGAGAAAAAACTATTCTGACACCTGATTGATTGGTGGATAAGCACACGAATGAGAGATAACAAGACAATTGGAACACTACTCGATGTATTCCTGATTTCCCTGATTTCAGATTAGTGTAAAAAGGTATATGAATAAATAAATAAGTGGATAACCCGACCGCAACGTACAACAATTAGGAAAAATACAATTATGTCCAAAGCTGGGAATTAGAGTAGAAAATAGGGTGCAAAATATTATGTTTAAATTACAATAGCTTCGGAACAGAAAAGGGTATAGCTTATGTTCTGTAGAATAGATTAGGGACAAAAATAAATGTCAGTGTTTTAAAAGCTTTGAATAAAATGAAATAACGTCCCGAAAGATAGCTTTCGTAGTTTGTCAGGGCTTCTTGTTTCCCTGTTCACATCAGTAGAAAGAATGATATAACGTAATTTTAATCTCACGGTTTATGGGAAGACAAAGAGTATATACATCCACACTACTGTGATCGATTCTGAGCCATGTCACCCAGAGTCTCCAACCATTGGTCACGATAGTCACGCTGACCCCAATCAAGTAATCTACATCTACCAACATGGTTCAGACCAGAAGTTAGTGACTTTATGGACTGATTTCACGTTTTGGTTTGGTCACCTTTATATTTCTTCCATCCATCTCCAGCACTCAGCATTGAGCGTTGTGGTAATCGGTTTTCAGGCATGCGGAACACGTGGCCTAACCATCTCAGTCGATGAAGATTTACAACCTCATCCACTGGTGTACCATCATTTCCTAATACTCTGCGTCAAACATTACTATTACTTAACCGGTGATCCCAGCAGATGCGAACTACATTTCTAAGACATCAGTGATCAAATACTAGTGACTTACGAGTATCTTCTATTCTTAATGGCCACGTTTCGCAGTCGTAAATTAAAACAGAACAAACTGCTGCACAGTATACTCGTCCCTTAATTGATAGAAGGATATCTGGCCTTTGCCATAGGTGGTATAAGTTGATAAAAGCCAAATGATCGTTCTGAATCTGTACAGAGGTTTCGTCAGATACCAACCCATTAGGGCTGATTAGACTTCCAAGATAAGTGAAGTTGTCGGCGCGTTCGATTACTTCACTCCCTTAGTTCAGGTGTTGACACAGGCCATTTCTGAAACAACAAATTGCATTTATAGTGAGAGTAGTGTACTCAACATAATTCAGATAATTGACAGTTTTCGTTGATTTGTACACCAAAATACATAAAACTAAAGTCCAATTAATTTGATCTATACTAATTGTTCTCTCACACCTCAATCTAGGTAATTAGTATCGTATGTTCAAAGTAAAGTGTGTGCGAAATCTTGCAAATCAACTAAAAATAGAAATAATCAGTTTTAGTTACAACTGTTGATCAATATCCATAAATACGTGTTACACTAAGTATTATCGTATTATTTTATATAGTAAAACTAAAGGTCACTTTGAAATTGGTTGCTATTACCGCATGTTTATACATAACCTCATTTGTGAAAGTGTATGTTATCCTTTAATGCAAATTAGAGCTGTGCACGTTTTGTATATTTCACACTCTAATATTGTTAATAGTAGTTGCAGTAGTAGTAACCGTAGGAAGCGGCCCCCAAATGCCCTGGTACGGCCGAGAGTGGGGAGAGTCCGCTCTCCCTCTCGAAATCCTCTCACATGGTCACGCGTATATAGCCTTTGCCAGGGAAGTCCTACTCACTGACTTCTCGTGGCGGGGGTGTTGTTTACGAAAGTGAAAGGACGAAAAGCGAATTTCAGGCGCTTTAACCGGATTCCAAATCAATGGTGCGCATGGGCTCCAGTATCCTGCGGGAACAAATGGCGTATGAACCAATCGTTGGTCACCGGCTACCATGGGACTGCATCTCCTTACGATGCTCCACTGCCTTGTGGGTCAGACGTTCAGGTCAAAGGCTCGGCGTGTGGCCCCCTAAGAAAACCACCTGCTTCGGTTTGGGCACCCGAGCAGTATCCCAGTCCTCACACAAATCAATTGATATCTGTGTGGCGCATATGTATTTGGTGCCTCCTTGTACCGATACCTATGTGTTAAAATAAATAAATAATAATAAAATGTGGCATCAGTGCTTAAAGATACCAACATCTGGTCTGAGCCATGCTGATAGTTGCAGACTACTTGGTTGGGGTCCGCATGACTATCGCAACCAATGGCTGGAGACTCTTGGTGACATTGCTCAGAATCGATCACAATGGCGTAGGTGTATACACTCTTTGTCTTCCCTTAAACTAAGAAATTAAAATCGCTTGATATCTTTCAAATCTTTCCTCCCATACTATATCCTTATATATTACATATTAGTACTATGAATCCGGTGTTCATCTTGCTGTACTAGTGTGATATGGCAACTTGGACCGATGCATATGTGCCTGGTCCTACGTTATAGCTGACTAACTGAACTGTAGAAAGGTCCCCCTTTTGTTTATAAAATCCTCCTGGCCTTTACATAAAAAATCACTCAAAAGTAGAAAGTAAGAATGCATCGTGGGGAAATTTTCCATTGTTGCATTTTTCTTGCTTGCTCATGTCATTCCTGTTTATTTGCAAGCATGTCTTTGAGTGCGTAGGTATTTTTTTCATGCAACTGCGTACGCTTTGCGGTTTAGGCACGTGATTGGTACTTAAATTCACAAATTAATATATTGTTTAATCAAATAATACACAAAGAAATCTTAATTAAGATCTATCATAATATACGAGTCACAGGGCTACTGACGTATTCACATACTTGCTAAAAGATGCGTAACTGTATGGATTGACAGTTTTCTACTGCGCAACTGTGATAGATAACTATATTAAGATTGAAGTTAAAAAGTAATACAATTACGGTAAAACACTCACCTATGAAGTCAATGTGAAACATTTCGTTTCATGTAACTTTTACACTAAGTGTAAAATCCATTTCCATCACGTTTATTAAACATTTCATAAGCAATGCTTCATTCGTAGTTGAAACATCACAAACCTTCATTTTATTCCATAAATCACTCCCTTGTGTTGTGAAGTGGAAATGCAAACACCAACATTTTATAACGTCTAGTTTTTTCACCACTACAATCTACCTCAACGCTAAAAAGAGTTCTTATTATCCATTATATCTTTCAATCTCGTTTCAAATTCGTGTTGATTGAATATCAAAGTGAACCGCAGTAGTGAGTCTGGAGTAACAATTAGAGGAAATCAAGTGATAATATTGGTATAGCAAGCATACTTCCTTCAGTGTAGTGAATCTATAAACTAAACTTGTTACCTTGACACTTGATTTTAATTGTCATAACTTTACACCGTGACCAATATCGCTATTTTTCAGGGATTTTTTTCCCTGAAATGTTTCATAAACTTTCAGAGCATTTTCATTCATTCCGTATTCATTTAGTTCTGTGTTTATATTGTTTTAACAATAAGTATTATCTTCCTCACTCTTTACATATTTTTTAAAATTATTATTCAGGTGTCCGAGCATATTCTTGTAATATCTGTGAGAAGAGTTACACTCAAAAGCATTCTTTGAAAAAACATCTTAGAAATTCTCATTCAAGTATGTTTCTATGTTCACGCTATTTGTGTTGTTTAATGATAAAACTGTAAATAAATTGATAGTTTCAATAAAAAATATAAGTTTTCAAAAAATAGTGTATTCTAAGAGATTTGGGTTAATGGTACTATCTTATATTTCGAACTAAATTAAGTGGAGCGGGTTTAAAAATTGGGGATTAGTGGCTGGAAGTCGAACGCCCTAACCATTAAGTGACCGCTTAGTGGTACACAGTCATTTTACAAGTACATTTTACTACATCGGAAAAAATAGCAAAATATACAAGGAATTTCCGTTCCTAGAAAATAACAATACCATATCCTTGAAATTGTCAATCGGTCTAAGTTAAACAACCACTTTCAACTTTGGAGCACTGGACAGTATTTTCATCCTAGTATGGGACTTATCTCTAGTGCACATCCACGACCCCGCAACTGAAAATCAAACCCAAGACCTTCAGTTTCACGCGCGGACGCTTAATCTCTAAATCACAAAGCAAATATTCAATGATGTTCATGTCTAACTTTAATTAATCCATTATATTGTGCGACCATTTTCCATTGTTCTCGGCGTGTACCTTCCTCACACTCGACACGGTCAAACTTCACTAGTCATATCTTCTCACTAAAACCTCAGAAATTTCCTCTCCAAGCTGTTTACCAGTAAGTGGAGGTTGTTGAATTTCACTATAATCATGAGGTCTTGGATGCATAATGCTGAGGAGTCTCATACTAGGTATAAACGGTCGTCTAGTGTGTCACGCTTTCAGTGGTTATGATTTCAATGAAATTTAACAATTTTTACAACCCTATACTGATAACTTCTCTAAGTAGCCCCAAATTCGTAAGTATTTTATTAAATTATATCTATGCAAAAATGAGATTGATAAAGTTAGTGCAGTGCTTAAATATATTAGATCTTGTTTTCATACAACTCATATTTCACGGATAATTTCGATTAACTAATGAACATCTCATATTTCGGTTGAAATCAAGAACAGACTCATTAATTATCACATATTTTACGTAGACTTTAAATTTGAATACGATAGTCGCTGTATTCTTGGATGATGGAACAGTTGATTAGTCAAATATCAAACAATTTAGTGTGTTCTTTGATCATATTTTTGCTTTCACCTCTTTAAAAGGCTTGTTGCAGGTCGTTTGGACACTAATTTATGATGCTTCAGAAATTTTTCGTAATTTATAATACCTATCAAAGATGACCCATACATTTTATTTTTTCTATTTAGTCTCATCCAGTCAAGGTATACTAGATGATTCAGGATCAACTAATGGGGTACCGAATAAATCTAGTCATTCTACATGTTCCAATGAAATGCGTACTTTTAAATCACGTAAAAGGTTACTCGTTGATTCTCCAATCATACCTAGTTCCTCTAGTCCTAGTCCATCTAGGTCGAATGAAGTAAGTGCCTAGTTCAGTGATATGATTCAAATGCACCACTGACTTTTTCAATGTTCTTTTATGTGCAAATCATTCATCTTTATTTACAGGTGTTCTAACCAAATCATTTTTAGTTTAGGAATTTTATCATTTTTGTATGTTGACCAATTTTTGGGTGTTACTCAAACGTGCCACTTTTTGAAGTACAAAAATATTTGTTTCATGATTATTCATGGGTGCCAGATTTATAGTTAATTTTCTTATATTAATTATTTACTTTTAACAATAAAATTAGGAAATTCATTTATTAAATAGGCTTGCTCAAGTATATTGACAGGAAAGTACGCTGCTACTGAATAGAAAAGCTACCAAACCTTATGAAGGTTTTAAGTGGCTACTTCAAAATGTACGATTTTTACTCAGTGCTAATGTAAATTTATGCACCTGGTTTTAGCCAGATGAATTGTGTGAAGTTTTAGTTATACTGTGATGTATGCTACTTACGTCTGTCGATATAAGTAGTATGTAACACCAGTCTTGAGTGTAAAACCTTTCAGCACAAGGCTATGAAGGTCGACTTGAAGGAAATAGAAACGGAATTAGAAAGGCATTGTTAACGGGAAGAATTATACAAAATGTGAAAGACAAATGATGGAAATTTGCAAATGAAGTATTTTAAGTATGATTCTCATATTCTACCAAGATACTCTGTAGTAAGGTGTATATATATATATATATATATATATATATATATATATATATATATATATAATATTTAACTACTAGAAGTTTATTTTGATAGTTCCATAATACTCTTCACAATAACTTTTCTTAATGAGTTTATATTACCTGTAATCAAAGAATTCTCATCGAAGTTTACCATACTGCAAATCTTAGGTGGACGGTCCTGTTTCATTGGAAACTAAGAATCGCCAAATCAGTTGATGATTTAAATGTAAGTCACAATGATTTTCGTATATTCCTTGATGTTACATTTGGACAACATTAAATAAAACTGTCATGGTACCTGGTGTTATTCAATACAATTACAGTGAATTAAGTGTAAACTCAATTTTTATATATGGTCTTCGATAAAGGCCCCATTTTCACAGAAGTTACAACTAATAATTACATGATTTTAGAAGTTTCCCAATTTCAATAAATGCGTCTTGGGCAACGTCACAATAAATAACTTCATTTCAATGAAAATTTCCAGTATTTAAAGTCACTTAAATTTATAACAGACAATCACGTAATGTACTTACCTAACTTTTAATAACAAATGAAGTGCATATCTGTAACTTCTCACTTAACCTTGTTAATAATTTATTGACTGCTACGTATTTATGAGGATTTTGACAAATTATGTCGCTAATTCCTCTAATTTATGATGTACTATTCATATGAGGTTACTGCTGCAGGATTGTCTTGTAAACTTATACAATTTATGTCTTCATAGTTTGGTAGCACTGAGCAACAATGCCCGAATGTTTGGGATGCGCTTTTCTCCCTCTAAATGCAAGTTGTTGCTTCAGGACCGGTCTGCATCAACACCTGAACTAAGGATAGGGAGTGAAGTAGTCGAACGCGTCGACAACTTCACTTATCTTGGAAGTCTGATCAGCCCTAATGGGTTGGTGTCTGATGAAATCTCAGCACGGATTCGAAGAGCTCGTTTGGCCTTTGCCAACTTACGTCATCTATGGCGAAGGCGAGATATCCGTCTATCAATTAAGGGACGCGAGTATACTGCGCGGCAGTTCGTTCCGTTCTACTATACAGCTGCGAAACATGGCCTTTAAGAGTAGAAGATATTCGTAAGTTACTAGTATTTGACCACAGGTGCCTTAGAAATATTGCGGGTATCTGCTGGGATCACCGGGTAAGTAATAATGAGGTTAGACGCAAGGTATTAGGAAATGATGGTAAATCAGTTGATGAGGTTATGAATCTTCATCGACTGAGATGGTTGGGCCACGTGCTGCGTATGCCTGAACACCGACTACCACGACGCACAATGCTAACCGGTGTTAGGGATGATTGGAAGAAAGTTAGGGGCGGCCAAACCAAAACGTGGCATCAGTGCTTGAAGTCACTAACTTCTGGTCTGAGCCATGCAGACTACCTGGTTGGGGTCCGCGTGACTATTGTAACCCATGGTTGGAGGCTGTTGGTGACATGGCTCAGAATCGACCACAATGGCGTCGGTGTATACACTCTCTGTCTTCCTTCAAACTAAGATATTAAAATCACTTCAAATCTGTCTTTCTAGGAACTAATTCTTTCTTCCTATACTATCTCCTTATACACAATCTTTCTTCTATATATTACCACCACTGAATTAACTACTCCTATGAATCCGGTGTTCATCTTGTTGTGCTAATGCGGTATGGCAACTTGGACCGATGCCTATACGTGCCTGGTCCTACGTTGCAACTGACTGACTGACATAGTTTTTCATCAATCCAATGATAAATAACTTAGTTTTCTGTACTGTATATGGATCGATTGATATATTTTGGGTTTTTCTTTTCTCTAGACATTCGATTAACAATATCCCTTCGGATAAAACTTTCGTGCCACGTTTTTGTATTTAGACACACAAATAACTATGAACATCCCGATCTTCAAGCAGAGTTTTCTTATGTCTACCTCATCAATTAAATCGACACCTACCTCAGTTTATATAGTTTCGATTATTGCATTTATGTAGTTCAATTAATAACTTTTTGTATGAAAATCCGTTTTGCTGCAGATTTTTTTGAGTTTTTCAAACAATTGATTTTGAACACATTCTTTGTATTATGTACTAAATCCAATACTTTTGCTATCTGGACACTGTTCTTTAAGCTATTTTTAGACCAAATCTTATGTTCATCTGTATTCGCGATCTCATCTAATGTTGGATTTTTCCTCAAGTATTTTTGGACTTTGTCTTATTTCTCAATGCTTTGTGACGGTAATCCTGTTACTGAAAATCTCAGAGCTGTCTAATCTTCTTTTTGCTCTAGTTTTTTGTGGTACGTTTTTCAGAGGAAGAGTTACGATATATGTACTCTTACTGTCCTTTTCATCTGTATGATGAGATTTGGTCTACATGGTAGCATTTATATTAGTAAATATTAGTCTGAAAAAATGCGTATGAGACACATACGAAACAGTAATATGAAGTGCAAGAAAACGAGTAGATTGAAATCACAATAATCCTTATAGAAAGAGTACTATATCATCGATTAGGTACTAAATAAAATGTGTTTATGCTAGGGTAAGACTAAATCGAAATAAAGGGGAGGGAAGTCGGGTTAGAATAAGAACATGTTTGACCAGAAGTAGGCGAGTGAACACGGTTCTTATTTTTCTAATTTTATAGTTGAATTCATGAGTCACTTGAAGCTAAACCACCATGAAAAACCTGAAAGCACTGACAGCCGTTTCATCCCAGTATGGGATTCCTCAACAGTGCGCATCCACGATCCCGCTTCTTGAGACCCGAACCCGGGACCTATCAGTCTCTCGCGCGAACGCTTAACCTCTAAACCACTGAGTCGGTATCCAACGATGTTAATGTCTAACTTCGACTAGTCCACGAAATTGAGCCACCATCCACCATTGTCTTCAGTGAATTACTATCTCACAACAGACCTGGTTTTCGATCAAAAGCCTGTCCCATGGTCCAGAATAACGCTCAATAAAGACATCTGGTTCCTGCTTGTATAGGTCCTTTAAATCGAGACAAAAATCCTTTGTTGTATTGTTCATATGACAAGGTTTCTAACATCGTAAGGAGCTTCATGGGAAATTACATAAACAGATGAAGGGTACAATTTTTATACGCTGAAACCAGATAAGGTCCATTCCTTATTTGTATACCTGAAATATTAGTTATTAAGACTGCTTTCGTATCTCCTATAATCTCGAAAAGTAATCTGAAAACCTCCAAATTTTCGAAGTTTGTCGATCTTGCGCAACGTGAAACTTGGCACAAATATGCCTCGTTTCATGTTGCCTATGTTCATCATTGGTTTGGAATCGGACTTTTTCTCCATATCCACCAACCCTGTCAAGGCACCGGACATTCGCTTTTCTTCCTCTAAATTTCGTAAATAATACACCCACTGCGAGAACGTAGTGAGTAGGACTTCCCTGGCAGAGGCTACATACATGTAGCCATGTGAGAGCGTTTCGAGAGGGAGAGCGAACTCTCTCCACTTAACCGTATTTTAAGCCGTCACCACACGAACAAATATCACCTGTGGAAGTAGTTAGGAACGTATAGTACATCCTAACCACGTCAGTCAACAATGATTCATGACCTCACCAACCAATGTCATCACCACCTATTACCTCCTGACCGCTGTTGCTACGTTGACGTGGTGGTCGGGCTTGCCTATCGTGATGAAGCAACTGAGCTATACTGGCTGGAGCAACCGTTCCTCAAGGTCCTACCATGCCAGACAGGTCGGTTGAAGAGCGGTAAGTCTTAAAGCAACAAAACCAAGGTCCGAAGTCGTACTGCTGACTGTACAGAGGTGTGACAGCAGTAAGGTGTTTCCTTCAGACAACCAGCATAACAGCGATGCTGCCTTCCCACAAGGAGGGGTGGGGTTAGAAAAGGTCGACCCTAAAAATGCACACCTCACCTTATCCCACGGATATCCGTCTCCGGCGGTAAGGTCTTAACAAGTACGGAGCTAACACGAAAATTACTCATAAAAAGGTCGTGTGTAACCGACCTCAAGCAGCTGTCCCTTGGGCACTGCGGTCACGCTCTCAGGTCACTAAGACCACCTCTAATCCAATTTCCTTTTCAGGCACATCAAGCAGAACCCTTCCACGGTGTGGGCAACCAGGAAGCGATGACCACCCTCATACCTCTAACAGCACTCAAGACCACTGTATTCATAATCAACCTCCCTCTTTAATTCCTATTATTCCTCCTACATCGACTTTCAAATCTAAACTTCCTCTTTTGACGTCCTCCTCAAGTGTCACCACAGCCAACGATTCTAGTGCGCAAAACACTGTCCCAGGTCTACTGAAACCTCGCTCTAAACTATACATTGGAGCCTTCAACGTACGCACACTATGCCAAATCGGTCAGCAGGCTTCCTTGGCTAAAACCTTAGAATCTCGTACCATTGATGTATGCTGTGTCTCCGAAACACGCATACAGGATCCTAGTGTGGTCATTCACTTGACCTTACGTCAACAAAACGGAGAGCCGACGAGATACGCCCTCCGTGTATCCGGCAACCCGATGGATAGTTCTCGTGGACTGGAAGGTGTAGGCATAGCACTAAGTATGAGGGCGGAACAAGCACTATTAGAGTGGATCCCCGTAAACAGTTGTTTATGCATTGTCCAGCTAAACGGCTCCGTAGGAACTCGAAAGGTTAAGGACACACGTCGTTGCCTTTTCGTCGTTTCTGCCTACGTTCCCATTGACTGCAGCTTGGATGAAGTGAAAGATGAATTTTACAGAAAGCTGTCTAAACTTCTTCAGAAAGCTAAACGTTCAGACATAGTACTCGTAGCAGGCGACTTTAATGCCCAGGTAGGTAGCTTAAACGAAACAGAAAGACATTTAAGTGGGTATTTTAGTATTCCGGTACAGCGAACAGATAATGGTGATCGTCTACTGCAACTGTGCTCAGATAATCGTTTATTTTTAGCAAACACAAATTTTAAGCATAAGGAGAGACATCGTCTAACATGGCGACCCCATGCACCAAATCAACGATGGACTCAAATAGACCATATTGCCATCAGTCATCGTTGGAGAGGGTCAATAGAAGATTGTCGCTCATTCTGGAGTACCTGCCTTGACTCCGACCATGCCCTAATACGAGCACGCATCTGCTTACGCCTCAGTGGACGCAAAAAGCCACACAAAAAAGACCCATTAGAACTGAACTGAGTAACAAGAAAACCAAACGTAGGTTCCAGGAACAACTGAGGTCACACCTAGGTAGTTCTGAAAACGAGGCTGACCCAGATGTTGCTTGGAAAGATATACAATCAGCTGTGGAAACAGCAGTGACATTTACTAATTATTTAAACGACAGGGTTACAAAGAATCAATGGATTTCTTCAAGGTCTATTGCACTGATAGATTCTCGTAAACTCATCCCATCAGGTTCTGAACACGATGAAGAGCGAAAACAAATCAAACCTAGGTTAAGCAAAAGTCTAAGGAACGACCGTGAGCAGTAGTGGGCAACGAAAGTAAAAGAGATGGAAAAGGCAGCGGTTTTAGGTAATACAAGACAGCTCTTCAGACTAATAAAAGAAACTGGAATTAATAAATCAAGTGTAAGTCAGACTATTTCGGAAAAAGACGTCACTCTCATCTGCTCCCAGTCCAGACGCTTAGAACGATGGGCGGAACACTTTAAGGAGCAGTTTAGCTGGCCTTCAGCTACTCTACAACTATCCTCTATTCCCAGTTAGCGTGAATGGAACATTGAAGTAGGTCCCCCAACTCTAGCTGAAGTTCAAAAGGCTATAGCTAATCTGAAACGAGGTAGGACAGCTGGTCGAGATGGATTAGCCCCAGAGGTCTTTAAGGATGGTGGTCTAGTTTTAGCGATTAGGTTGACTAATATTTTAGCTAACTGATCACAATCACTTATCGTCCCAATATTTAAGAAAGGGTCAAAATCATCCTGTGACAACCACAGAGAGATTAGTTTGACTAATATAGTATCTAAAATACTAGCTTCGATAATTTTCGGACGCCTAACTAAGACTCGTGAACTGCAAACACGTGAAAATCAGGCTGGCTTCAGACCTGGTCGTGGCTGCATCGACCACATATTCACCATTCGTCAGGTTCTAGAACACAGGCATACTTATCGGCGTCCGACAATGGTGGTCTTCCTTGACTTAAAAGCAGCGTTTGACTCTGTTGACCGAGAGGTTCTGTGGCAGTGTCTGTCATTGTAAAGCGTACCTCAGAAGTACATAAACCTCGTGAAGGCTCTTTACTCGAGCACTACTAGTCGAGTCAGAGCATATGGCGAACTGTCATTTGCTTTCGCAACCTCAAGTGGTGTCCGTCAAGGCTGTCCACTTTCTCCATTTTTGTTTAACTTCACCACAGATCTACTGATGGAAATAACGCTCTCATCGACTGAATTCTCGGGTATTGATCTCCTACCAGGAGGTCCGCTTAATGACTTAGAACACGCAGATGACATATTCCTGTTTGGTGAAGACGCTGGTGGAATGCCGATTTTTTGGTAGCACTGAGCAACAATGCCCGATTGTTTGGGATGCGCTTTTCTCCCTCTAAATGCAAGTTGTTGCTTCAGGACCGGTCTGCATCAACACCTGAACTAAGGATAGGGAGTGAAGTAGTCGAACGCGTCGACAACTTCACTTATCTTGGAAGTCTGATCAGCCCTAATGGGTTGGTGTCTGATGAAATCTCAGCACGGATTCGAAGAGCTCGTTTGGCCTTTGCCAACTTACGTCATCTATGGCGAAGGCGAGATATCCGTCTATCAATTAAGGGACGCGAGTATACTGCGCGGCAGTTCGTTCCGTTCTACTATACAGCTGCGAAACATGGCCTTTAAGAGTAGAAGATATTCGTAAGTTACTAGTATTTGACCACAGGTGCCTTAGAAATATTGCGGGTATCTGCTGGGATCACCGGGTAAGTAATAATGAGGTTAGACGCAAGGTATTAGGAAATGACGGTAAATCAGTTGATGAGGTTATGAATCTTCATCGACTGAGATGGTTGGGCCACGTGCTGCGTATGCCTGAACACCGACTACCACGACGCACAATGCTAACCGGTGTTAGGGATGATTGGAAGAAAGTTAGGGGCGGCCAAACCAAAACGTGGCATCAGTGCTTGAAGTCACTAACTTCTGGTCTGAGCCATGCAGACTACCTGGTTGGGGTCCGCGTGACTATTGTAACCCATGGTTGGAGGCTGTTGGTGACATGGCTCAGAATCGATCACAATGGCGTCGGTGTATACACTCTCTGTCTTCCTTCAAACTAAGATATTAAAATCACTTCAAATCTGTCTTTCTAGGAACTAATTCTTTCTTCCTATACTATCTCCTTATACACAATCTTTCTTCTATATATTACCACCACTGAATTAACTACTTCTATGAATCCGGTGTTCATCTTGTTGTGCTAATGCGGTATGGCAACTTGGACCGATGCCTATACGTGCCTGGTCCTAC